GCCCTTTACGATACCACGGAAGCCCTCACTTCTGCCAATGTTCCAAAATTCATTCACTTGACACTGAAAAGTGCGGCAAACAACTCGGATATTGGTATTAAACTTGAAACTGTTTAGTAGGACCGACATAATTACATTTCAGCGAGCACGGTTCAGCGACTGTTATCGAACCTTTCTTCGAGTACTAATCCAGGCAGTCTTTACTTTTGTCAGCAGACCTACTACGACTACTTCGGAGAACAAACTACTGAATAGCATGTACTACTTGCCAGTTGTGGCATTTATCAATTCAACCTTTACCGCCCTCTCCTACTCTTCAGGACGACTCAAGGCATCGTTCCCAAAATGCATTATGTCATGGCACGTATTTAAAGGCGGAGTAACGACATATTAACTGTCAACTTATAATACGATCGCTACGAATAATGCATGTGAATATTTGGGCTTTTGTCAAAGAGATAACTTTACGGGAAGCAAATAGCTCGCAGTCGTCTAATTGGCACAGTTTCCTGTAAATAAAACTAAATCCATACCATCATTTTCATAATTAACAGATAATATTTGGTGATCTGAGTTCGTATTCGCATAAACTGTCTAATCACACATTAGTTTATGCCAACGGTTTTTGCTTTTCTCTTTTGTCCCGGTGTCGTGTAGCACCCTGTTTGCAATGTGTAAGAGAAAATTGTTTATTCGTCCAGAAGAAACCTTTTCCGACAAGGCCACGACAGATTGAAAGATAACCACCTAGTAACCTACTGGCATTAATCAATCCCTCAAGATAACAAGAACTCAAGGGTGTTCAAACTGATCGTTTTACATGAATTCTGGTGTTAAGAAGGGTTTTAATGAGAAGTTTATAGCTAAACGGTCTTTATAAGTGGGTTTTTAAAATGCTGCTACTTTTCGGGGTTTATTGTAAGTCATTTGAAGCCGAGCTGCACCGTCATCAGCAAACTTTCCAAGGATGCGCTATTCGAGTTGAGTGGGTCTAGTAGTCTGACTGAGTGGCCGGTAATTGCCGTGGAGAGGATTGCATTGTGCGCGTAGGCGCTTGGTTTGTGCGCACTTGCGCTGCTCTTGTGTAAGAATTGCAGGGCGCACTGGAGGTTACTGACATGTAGTCAAAACGTATTACTATCTTCAGTTAAGTAGCACTGTTGTAGTGCACTGTCGTAGTATGCGGTTAGTGGCCAAACGCGTCCTGATGGGAATAAAGCAGGAGGCGTAGTACAGGAACAAGGGCACTGATGGTATTTAAAATTTGCCAAACCAAATCGCTCGAATACCAAACCCCTAAAGATTGATGGGAGTGGTTCGTGCCCGCGAAGGACAACTAAAATTTAGAACACTTTAACGAAAATGGTCGAATTTAAACTGACCGTCCCGAGGAAATTACCTATTGCGGTGCAGAATGATCTCACAGGTCGATAAGGAATACGTATAGATTTAAAAACCCCGTATGAGGGATTATTTCTTATCAGCACGCATTCTCACAGACACAAATAGTTTTCTGATTTGGGGACCTGGTTCAGTAAAATGAAAAAAGCATCCTCCCAAGACAAAAAAATAGTAAGTAGCATAAAAATCAGAGGTAATAATTTCAACTACTAAGTAAACCCCAATGCCTGTGGTACGCGATTGAGAGGTGTGCCGAAGTGGGTGTCCACTTTATCATCAAGAGATTTGGTTTTTCAGATGAGACCACATGTGAAGATATTCTGTGCCCGACTAATAAATATCTCGGAAGTTATCGAAGATTTATGTGTGATCAACCTGTTATATTTTAATGAGAAGCAAAAACTACACCAAACAGAAAAGAATCCACTCGTCCACTCAACGCAAAGAAAACCGAAAATGACCCAATACATACCAGTCCACCAAAAACTAATATCAGGCAGTGATTCATCCCTACAGTTGTTTTACGAAATGGCCTACGTGAGAACGAATCCACGCTATATGTATGGTAAAACGGACATTATTACTAATCATGCGGTATACAATAAATGGCCAACTATGCCTCGGTCCGAGCTATGCCCCCCTCCACCGGTGTTCAGTTTCGGCTTGAGGAAAGAAGCATGTGCTAATAGGCCTAGATCTATGACCTCCTGCTCACTTTTCCTACGAATCATGGATATTGGCGAGACAGGACTGACTTAAACGAAAACCGTCTGAATAGAGCATAGTAGGTTCCTCTGGACCAATTACTTCAATTAATGTTTCTTAGTAAGGCACAAAATACAGATTAGACTAATGGGATAATTATCTCCCTTTGGATGAAGTGTTCCATTCGCCC